TATAGGAATGAAAGAAAGTTATAGTGCTGAGAAGACAAACGTTCACCTTTTTGTTAAACGTGAAAAATACCTAATAAAGATAGAGGAAACAACCTTTGTGCTTTTATTAAATGTGATTTGAATATTTTCACCTAGTTTGAAAATTAGTGATTTTACATGTTGTGGGGTCATTAAAGTTGATTCAGAGACATTACGTTGTTTAACAATTGATGACACAATATTTGTGAACATGGTAAGATCGAGGGTGTTGGTGTCATTTGCAAAGGTAAAGGCAACGACCCATTCCTTTCTACATGCTTTTGTTTTTTGTGAGACTTTGCAATGATTGCAGTCTATGTACGTTTGATTTGATATGTCCACCTTTTTATGGCAYTTATAGAAACTATGATACATAGTTATTCGATTGACTGTCAAAATTTCTCCAGTGATGGTTTGGTTGCTATAGTCACAGGGATTCTGGAATTATGAGCGAAAAAAATCAAAATTATGCGCGATTATGCACGAAATTATGCGTGATGACGTCATCGCTTAAAACCTAAAATATGACTACTACAAAAATCAACGAACTGTGAAATGGGCCCGAATTTTGTATGACAAACACGCCTACTTTCGTTGATAGATTCCATAAATTCTATTGGCGCGACACATGCTACTCATGGTCAGTTACAATGGCGGAGATGAGCAAAGCTGGTCGTGTTTACCAGAGAGGAAAACCTACAGGTCAGGATTGAAGACATTGTAGAACGTGGARGGGACTTTGTCACTGGTTTCTTCGATGGAAATTTTAACGAGATTTTATCAGGAATAAAGCTACCCGATGTCGGAAGACCAAATTACGGACACTCACTTGTTGGGACTCCAGCCGTTGAAATATTTAGATACATGAATTCACCAAATATTACGTTGAACTTAATGTGCAGCTTGGATGGTATTGYTTACGCAAACACAGTGTGCGGTGCAAGCAATCATATGACATTTCTTAACTTCTTTGAGAAATCTATGAACGTATTTCTTCAAGATGGAAGACCGCCTTACACTTACGGCGATCATATAAACATGGACAACGCGGCGATACATCATCATCAAGCTGGACAAGCTCTAGGGGAATGCTTAGATGATATAGGATGTGTTCTTTTGTATCTACCGASTTATTCACCCGMATTCAACCCTTGTGAAAACGTTTTTAATAAGCTAAAAACAATCCTTAAGYGATTTGAATACCGAGAACTATTGCGTTAAAATCTTCACGTGGCAGTCCACCGAGCACTACAAGAAATCACACCAAATGATGTACGAGGATTTTTTAATTTCACAGGATATATCAATATGTAACTCAACTTATCATTGTGAAGCTATAACAATGCCAGTTTTCAGTTTTTARATAAAGTCACAAGTATCCAGTTAGAAAAAAAAACGCCTTTATACATGTAACAACGTAGACATTGAAATTTTAATAAAGAACAAAAAGTTGTATAATAATTGGTTACAAGGTATTTGATAATCACGGCTATGAATTCAATTGAATTCTAGAATTATGCCAAAATGATCTAAATTCTCTTTTAAAAGAATAAACACAAGTCTTTTGAGTATTAATAACACAACGAATTCAGTATATGCTCTTAAACAATAATAATAATAGCAGAACTGTCAAGAAATGTTATCTGCATAAACAATACAAGTTTCTATAACTKTAAACAGAAGTATCAATAATCTTATRCTTGTAAAGTTTAGTCACTCATTAACTGTGCCGSCGTAAACARAAGYGACAGTCTGTATTCAGCATCKCCGCCATCGCCGGGCGATTCTTGTTCAGTTTCAGTCGTGGTTGCTGCCATTGAATTCAAACTTAGCTGTACGCCCATTTCAAATTGTTCTTTTCCTTCCTCAATACTGTTAGGAGTTATACTATTAGGAATTATTCCTTTCCCCGGAAACTTTATTCCTTTTTGTTCCCTTAGTTTGACAACTGGATTTACATTCTTACTTGACACCGTGACAGAATTCTCAGCACTTCTGGTTTCGTGCATATTATCAAATCCTGAATCAAATTTCRCTATTAATTTCTGGATTTCAGAAACATTGGGGACCTTTCCCATGCAAAGTTWTTCCAGTTTYCTAATATCTGTGTTTACTAYCAACCAGTTCGGCACGAAATCTCCTGTGAGAGTTTTTCTTAGATATTTATCTGGGTTACTGTTAATTAGTTTTGTCTGAACTTTAGCGGCGAACGTGTTAAGAGAAGAAGCATAGGCTTGTTTTTTCGATGTGATATCCTCCTCTAGTTGTTTTGATTTTCCTTTCAAAGCTTTTAATTCAGATTGTACTTTTTTTAGGTATTTATCTTCGTCCGGATGTCTTTTTATTTCTTTGCAGAATATAGCAGAACTACAGGTTGGGAAGGAACAGATTGCTTTATTGTGGCCWGACAAGTGACAATTTGAACACAGCGGTGGTTTATTGCTTCTATTAGAACGATTTGTTGCGTTATCTAGCGGCATGCTGCTTTTTTGTAGTTGAGACAGTTCGCGTTGCTTCAAGGCGGCATCTTTGTCGACTTCTTGCTTCTCTTTAGAAAGCTTCTCGAAAAATCTATAAGTTGGAGACACGTATGTTTTACCAGCAGTGTCAGCTCTATCTTCGAATTGGAGGGATTTCACAACTGAAAGACACTTCGTTTTTTAGGCACATTATGTGAGATTCCAGGTTTCGGGGAAGGAGAAGGTGAGACACGAGCATGCTTTTTTGACTCGCTCTTGTGGTGTTAACGACGATACNCAAGTACAGAACAGGGGCAGGACTACTTGGGGAGCAGGGAATAAAAACTATTCACAATGAATTAAATGGATTGAATAAAACATACTCAAGAATCTGTGAGAAATGTCACAGAATGAAATGTGTCCTGAAAGAGCACCACAGGCGCTGTCATCCTGCTAATGTGCCAATTAAAAAAGCGAAAACAAATACAAGAAGAATGAGTAGAGTAAGTTCACGAACACAGCATAAACAGCCAGTACAAATTTTTTTTATAGTTTTATTTTCTTTTTCTTCTGAAGTTTCCTTTCTGCCTCCCTCTTTAGCCTTTCTTGAAGTTCCTCTCGCCTGGCCATTTCCTTCTTTCTTCTTTGTTCCTTTTGTTCTTCTGTTCTGCAATATACAAAAAATAGTGTAAACAGGTGAATTCAAAAACATCAAATAATACCGTATATATTATATTATATTTAAGTTTAACTAAATTATCTCTCTTAACAGGTCAGTATTTAGTGTGATAAGGCACTAAAAGATCTCTTCAAAATGAAAGTCATACAGAAAACAAAAGAAAAGGAAAATAGAATAGGCCTTACTTACAATTCCTCATCCACAAAAACAACCCCCATGGGCCTTTTCACTTTGTTTCTCTTTATACGTTTTCCTTTGGGGGCGCTGTGTAAAAAAACAAGATTTATAATTTAATTAAATATTAAATTCCTCTTAAATTATTAAATCATCCAATATCAAACAGAAATTAGTGAAGCAATGATTTACCTTTTCTTCAATAGGCGCATCATGCGCTTCCACTCTTGATCCTGCTTTTCAACACTAGTGTTGTCACTTTGTCCCACCTCCATTGTTGTAAAAGTCGGTGAATAAAAAAGATGGAGCTCACCCCACAAAGTAGGGGCGGGAAAATCTGACGCGCGTGGCACTGGCCAGCTCAAAAGGCGGGAAAAAAGGAGAGAAGAGTGTTTGGATCGAACGAGTAATCGAAAATCAAGCCAAACAAAAATAGTCATAAAGCGCCGCAAAAAAAGGTTAGCAAATAAACCACTCCAAATGTATTAAATATAATGTGCAAAGAACATAAATCAGACGTACCTGCAAAAAGAAAAAGTTCCAAACGTCTTTCAATAAGCCATCTAAAATGACAAAATCAACACGTTTCGTCCGCCATCTTGCTGCCGTCTCAATGATTGATCTTGTCAGTAGCAATTCCTCTCTTCTTTCTTTGAATATAGCAGACTTAATTCGTTGAAGAAACAAAGGCCAGTAATAACTACACATCCTTTGAAGATTTTTGATGAAAGAGCTCGAAATCTAGAAGATTTTTCTATAGTTTTGGGACACATTTCGTGCCACAAACATACTGTCAACAGGAATCAATGCCTCGTTCTCGTGTCAAGAAACGCGCGCGGATCATAGAACTTAGAGACTGGAACCTAATGTCCGAATTTTCTTCGAACGAAACAGCCGTGACTGGGAGCAGGTCGGGGTGAAATAGATGTTAAGGTTGCGGTAATAGAATAATGTAAAGATATGAATATGAAGACCGCATGGCACTATGATAAACACGATATAGGAATGAAAGAAAGTTATAGTGCTGAGAAGACAAACGTTCACCTTTTTGTTAAACGTGAAAAATACCTAATAAAGATAGAGGAAACAACCTTTGTGCTTTTATTAAATGTGATTTGAATATTTTCACCTAGTTTGAAAATTAGTGATTTTACATGTTGTGGGGTCATTAAAGTTGATTCAGAGACATTACGTTGTTTAACAATTGATGACACAATATTTGTGAACATGGTAAGATCGAGGGTGTTGGTGTCATTTGCAAAGGTAAAGGCAACGACCCATTCCTTTCTACATGCTTTTGTTTTTTGTGAGACTTTGCAATGATTGCAGTCTATGTACGTTTGATTTGATATGTCCACCTTTTTATGGCACTTATAGAAACTATGATACATAGTTATTCGATTGACTGTCAAAATTTCTCCAGTGATGGTTTGGTTGCTATAGTCACAGGGATTCTGGAATTATGAGCGAAAAAAATCAAAATTATGCGCGATTATGCACGAAATTATGCGTGATGACGTCATCGCTTAAAACCTAAAATATGACTACTTTCGTTGATAGATTCCATAAATTCTATTGGTGCAACACATGCTACTCATGGTCAGTTACAATGGCGGAGATGAGCAAAGCTGGTCGTGT